AACCACAGCAGAACAGCTCCATTGTCCACGCTTGTTCACTGTCACCAGAGGCCAAAAACAACAGCAACACTATCCTGCAACCTGAGGGGGTAATGTTGTTTGCTTATCCTCTGTTTGTGCATCGTTCAGGGCATTGCAGGGCTTGATGCATCTTAGAAAGTATGCAGTTCCACCAAAATGGCCCTAAAAAGTATGAACCAATGTTAAATTTAGTTTACAAAGGTCTTGTTTGCAGTAGATACTGATGTTAATTAAAACTGTATTTGAGAAGAGCATCCACAGTCAGAACAACAGCTCACTGCCAGGCTAATTGTAGCTTATTTCGAAGATAACAGCATAAACCTGACTAAATGTGATTCGGTTAGACCGTGTGACCTGTTCACCTTGTCTCCCTGCCTCTGTCTTACTGTCCTCTTACCCCAGACCCCTCAGTACCCCTGGAACTCGCAGACTCAAGGCTGGCTGCTCGGAGCCTTCTTCTTTGGCTACCTGTTCACACAGATCCCGGGAGGTTACCTGGCCGGTCACTATGGTGGGAGGATGTTCCTGGGTTTGGGTGTGCTGGGCACGGCTGTACTCACCCTCCTTACCCCTCTGGCTGCTCAGTTCGGGTCCTACTGGCTGTTTGCACTGCGAGCACTGGAGGGCTTTGGAGAGGTAAGGTCATACTCGCCCATAGTTTAAACTCTTAATTTCTTCACTCCGATTTCCTTATCTCAATTAAAAGAGACTATAGCTTACTTAAAACTGACCTCTTCACCCCCTGACCTGCTTTCTGCCAGGTTCTTCAAGGAGGGTTTTGATCTTCTGGGTCCCATTCTGGTCATGTTCATTAATCTCTCCTTGGATACGGGTGTGGTCCCGACTGCTCTTAAGAATGCGATAGTTCGCCCACTCCTTAAAAAACCTAATCTCGATTCCTCTTTATTGTCGTCTTTTTGTCCAATTTCCCTTCTTCCTTTTTTGTCCAAAATTCCGGAAAAAATTGTAGTTACCCAGCTGCAGGCTCATTTAGATTGTTTAAATATTGCTGATAAGTTTCAATCTGGCTTTAAGCCCCGCCATAGTACAGAATCCGCGTTACTTATGATTCATAATGATATCACTATGGCTCTCGATACCAAATGTCCTGTTCTGTTAGTTCTTTTAGATCTATCTGCAGCCTTCAATACTGTCGATCACGCTATTTTTTTGTCGAGACTTGAACACCTCGTTGGGCTTAAAGGAACTGTGTCAAACTGGTTTTCTTCCTTTTTGACCGACAGAACCTTCTCTGTTAGTATTGGCGACTGCGTCTCTAATATAGCCCCCCTCACCTCAGGTGTTTCGCAAGGTTTGACCCTGGCTCCATTACTCTTTTCTCTATATATTTCACCTCTTGCAGCTATTATATCTAGCCAACATGTTCATTTCCACTTTTACGCAGACGATGTTCAGATTTATATACCACTGCTCCTATCTGACTCCAATGCTCTTACCCCGTTGCATAATTGCATTCAAGATATTAGGCAATGGCTTGCGCTAAATTTTCTGCAGTTAAATGAGAGTAAGACCAAATACATACTTATTAGTCCTGACCCGTCGCCTGATGTTGTTAACCTCTGCACTTCAGTCTTCCCTCTATCTGATACGGTGAAAAATCTTGGTGTAATTCTTGATAGTGGTTTTACTTTTGAGAAACAAATTAGGGCAGTGGTTAAGTCGTGTTTTTTTCATCTAAGACTCTTATCTAAGGTTAAACCTTTTTTCACATGGAGATCTGTAGAAGGCTAATCATGCGTTTGTTATTTCATGGTTAGATTATTGCAATGCTCTGTATGTTGGAGTTCCCCAGACTTTGCTTCAAAAACTACAACTAGTCCAAAATGCAGCAGTTCGGTTGCTATCTAACACCCCCAAGTTTATTCATATCTCCCCTATTCTCCGTGCTCTTCACTGGCTTCCAATCCAATTCAGAATTAAATTTAAGATTTTATTGTTTGTTTTTAAGGCTATTCATGGCCTTGCACCTTTTTACTTATCTGACCTTTTGGCAATTTATGTGCCGTGGAGAGCTCTCTGCTCCATTGATCATTTGTCGCAAGTGGTCCCACAATCCCGCTATAAGAAATGGGGCAACCATTCCTCTTCTATTTGTGGCCCCAGACTGTGAAATGTTCTGCCGGTAGAACTACGGGCGGAAAGCAAACTAGTAGCCTTTAAGTCGGCCTTAAAGACCCACTTCTTTAAGCAGGCTTTGGAGGCCTAGCTTGTTTTATTGTTTTGTTTTAGCTTTGGTCTAGCAACAGTATATCCTTATCTGTTTTATAGTCATTGTTTTGTTTTGTGTGTTTTTATTGTACAGCACTCTGGTGCTCCTGTGAGTTGGAGAGTACTATATAAATAAAGTTTTATTATTATTATTTATTATTACTGGATGTGCAGCACTGTTTGTACACTATGATAATTGGTGTTGAGTGGAGAATTTTGTGTTGATATGAGTGGGTTTCCATTTAAATGTAGCTTTTTATTGTTATATACAGTATATTATTACTTTGGTATATTTGCCTTTATGTGAATTATGTGCTGTTACAGTAGCTTTTACAACCTCTCAGAAGAGGAAACATTTGAAACCTTCCACTGTTACATTTCATGGTTTTTGACTGAAAAAGCAAAATGCGTTCTGATGGGTGCTTACCAGTCCGTCTCACTTTTTGTCTCTGTTTCTTCAGGGTGTGACATTCCCTGCCATGATGGCGATGTGGGCTCGGTGGGCTCCTCCACTGGAGCGCTCCCGCCTGATATGCCTGTCAGGATCCGGGGGCAACTTTGGAGCCTTTCTGGCTTTGCCGCTCACTGGCTTCATCTGCCAGACTCTGGGCTGGCCTGCTGTCTTCTACCTTTGTGGTGAGGGAGTGAAACTCATACAAACCAAATACAGTCACATATACTGTACACCTTAGTCTCTCACAGGAAAGATGTCGGGATGGTAAATGCAACCACAGTGGAGGGTAGGGCGTGCACAATAAGAAGTCATTTAAACATGGAACATACTGTGCATTTGCTAACTTTTATTTATATATATACAGTATATAT